TGTTTTATCACCATCATTGTAAAGACTTTTCCTCACATCCAGCCTGAATCTTCCCTCTTTTAGTTTAATACCATCACCCCATGTCCTATTGCAACAGGCCCTGCTAAAAACTCTCTCCCCATCTTTATTATAGGCCCCTTCTAAGGCTGCAATAAGGTCTCCCTGGAGTTTCTTCTTCTGCAGCTGAACAGCCCCAACTCACAGCCTTCCCTCACAGCAGAGATACTCCATACCTCTGATCATTTTTGTGTCCCTCCTCTGGACCATCTCCAACAGGTCCATGTCTTTCCTGTGCTGAGGACTCCAGAGCTGGGTGCAGACTCCAGGGAGGTCTCACCACAGCAGAGCAGAGGGGCAGAATCACCTCCCTTGACCTTCCCCCAGGGGAAACGAATGAACTTTTCCTCCCTGTAACAGCAGATTGGATTCCTCAGAATTTGTTGAGGAGATTCTCTGGGACCTCGTTTTTCAGGTTCTTTCTGCTCCATGTTAAAGCATCTCTCTCTGGTCCTCTTGCCCGCTCTTTTGTCTATTCCTTTCTTGCAGCGATGCTTCTAATTAGTCAGATTTAAATTCCTTTGTTCTCAGCCTCTCTCAGATCATTAACGACAACTGGTTTTCAGCTAGTTTTTCTCTGTGAATTTATCCCTTTCTAAGAACTTAAAAAATGGTTGCTCTTAATGTTTTTTTGTTACATCTAATGTAACGCAATTTGGTTGGCAGCAACTGCCAATGCTTGTTACTCCTTTCTTATTGACATTTTTTAATACGTTTGGTTCAGCTTTTCCCTTGTAAATAGTGGGTTCCTTTTTCTTTTTGCAGGGGGCACCAAGTATGACAAGGCAAGTTGTGACACATACATGTTACTGTGTCTAAACTAAAATCAGTGTGTGTGTATAATACGTTCCCTATCTATGTAATACCTAAAAAAGAAGATTAATCTGAGGCTTTCCAGCAGGCTTGCTGCTCTCATGTTGCACATTGCAGCTTTCATAGGGCATCTCTCACTAGTTTCACCAAGTTCACAGTAGCTACGGTTAATTCTTAGCTCCTTTTAATCTCATCATCTCACTGATAGTTGCTGTGACACACCGGCCTTCTATCCAGCACAATTCAGTTTCTTAAGCAGTTTTTGTGCTGCACACTGCGCTGAATGGTACCACTGTTTGCTACCAGGGATAGCTAAAATATTTCCAATTCATACGGGTAATGCCATAAGCCCTGACAAAGGCAAACAACCGTGACCTGCACTGTACAAGCAGCACATAGAGAACATTAGAGAATTTTATGTCACGAACTTGTTTTTATATATTTTAATACATTTTAGATACAATGTGTTACTTGCTGCTTTATTAAATCAGTGTAAAATGGACTAATGTAGCAGAGGGTCATCTCATACGATTAATTCCAATGGCTTCCATGAGTCTCACATTTTTACATTAACAAACAGAATGGCTACAGACTGAGCCCTGGCTTTTTAGTTCTCTCTCCACAAACAGGAGAAAAGGCTGCTGCCCTGGCATAGCAGAATGGTTGTTACACAGTCTGGAGACTGCTTGAAGGGTATGTTCCACTGAGCCAGGGTGCCCATATGTAGTGCATTAATAACTCTGGGACTTGCTGCTGGAATCTAGGAGTACTAGAGAGTATAATGCAAATTCCCTTCACCTCATGGGCAGCAGCACCCATGGGAAGGGATAGGAGGTGAGGCAAATGCAGTGGTGAAAGAGCACAGAAAAGAGAAGGGGGCTTTTTGTGCAGTGCTTTCTCCCCAGGCAACTACATTCTGCCTTCTCAAGAAGGAGAGTTAGGAGCTGTTGTACTGTTAAATCAAGAGCACAGAGGAATCCGTGCACTGCTGCTTAAGTACCAGTGCTAATGTCTGCAATATCAACTGGTGCTTAGTATCAACTATTTCTGATACGAGAAAAGCTCTGGAGACCACATGACACAAGCAGTAAGCCAGCACAAAAAAAAAGCTAAAATGCTGTTCTTCCTTACAAGTGGAGCAAAGCTGGAAAAAAGCCAGGTTTTTACAAGTCTCCTCTATCTGTTCTTTGGGTGATTGGAAGGCATCTGTCATGGCAAAGGAGGATCAGGTGATTCACTTATCAGAGAGCTAATAAATCATAGAATCCCAGACTGGTTTGGGTTGGAAGGGACCTTAAAGCTCATCCAGTTCCAATCCCCTGCCACAGGCAGGGACACCTTCCACTAGAGTAGGTTGCTCCAAGCCCCTGTGTCCAACCTGGCCTTGAACACTGCCAGGGATGGGGCAGCCACAGCTTCTCTGGGCACCCTGTGCCAGTGCCTCAGCACCCTCACAGGAAAGAGCTTCTGGCTAAAATCTAGTCTAAATATACCTTCTTACATTTCATAGCCATCCTTGCTTTATCACTGCAGTCATTTTGGAAAGGTGTAATAGCTTGAGCATTCTCACAGTCTCCCTTAGAAAGCACACTGAAGGAAACAAGTATTGGTTTTTAATTAGCACTTTTCTTGCACACTTCATTTTAGAGCCAATGCAGTAAGAAACCCTTTCTTAAATAGCACATAACCTTTCTTTAGAAATGTTTCGTATCACTGAGCTTATACCATAAAAACCATGAGAAAATAATTTTTAAATAAACACATCGGATTTTCTTACAGATTTGGGTGGTCTTTATCTGCTGGATTCTTAGCAGAAATGTTGCAGTCATACTTCCCATAATGGTATTACTCTTTCTACAGTGTCTTTTTGGTTTTGGTAATGTTTGAAGAGCTGCATTTCTCCTTGTTGTATACATTTAAAAGATAATCATATCCAATCAGAAGAACAGAACAGTATTAAAATATAGAAAAGTGTGTAGCTGATTATCCCTCTTGCACTTGCTGTAGCACTCACTAACATTCCACCAACTTCAGTACTTGAAGGGGTATCTCTGAAGCTTCTAGGATGAGCCCTGATTTTTTTACTACAAAGGAACTGGCTTTGCTTCTTCAGAAAGGTGTTTTCAAAACAAATGAAGGGATTTTAGGTGCCCAGACCCCACTTACATTTTTGTTTCATTTGGGCCTTTGAAGGTAACCAAGACAAGCAAGCATACTGAGAAAAACATAGCAATATTTCTTTTCACATTTGATATAGCATGTAAAGGTTTAGATGAATTGTGCCCATTCTGTGCAATGTTCAGGGAAAGGGACTCACAAATGTTGTTGATGTTTCTATAGAATATGATTTTTTTTTACTCTGTTATGTTCCTCACCGCTTCCTAGGATCCCCCTGGAGATAATTAGATATCATGCTGAAACTCCTTCATACAAACTGAATTGTGAAGAAAGGAAGCAGCTGGATGACGATGTGTCTGTTGCTGAGGTTGAACAGGCAGCCTGTGCCCTTGAACAAAGCCCCCGATCTCAAAGGACTTTCTACTGAAATATATGAATAGCTCCAGCCTATTTTGGAAAATTTCCTGACTATAAGTTGAATGAATCACCCACACCAGTTTTATATATGCTGTTAGCTCAGTTAATAGCCATGTATTAAGAAACATGATAAGAATCATGAAAGTTGTGTCTCCTGCAGAGCCATCTCATTGTGCAGTAGAGATACTAAATTGCTTTTTAAACTGTAATTCTGAACAATTCTTTCCAATTTTGTTCATGAAGACTGAACTGGTTTCATATGGGAAGGACATGACTTACACAATGAAAGACTAATTTAGTAGCACACTATATGCTGTATTCAATACAGACTATGTTTTAGCATCTTAATATAGAAATAGCTTTTCATCATGTACAGTGGAGCTATCATGGTATGGTAATCAAGAAATAAATTTTCTTGGCTTATTAACATTCATCTTTTCCTTAGATACAATACAAATCAAAGACTGTTAACTGAATATGATACTTCTATACATAATCGTAAAGACTAATCTAATTATCAGACATTCAAAATGAAGTCAGAAACTCCAAGCTTGTCCTTACCTATAGTATTGAGCTTCCATAGTTTTGAATAGAAATATTTAATAGTGCTTGCATAAATCGGAGGGTTTGTTATGCTTATTAACTGCTGTTTACTTAAAGTTTTAAGTATGAATGACCTGCTGACCAGAACTAACTCGTTATACCTGAGTGTGTACCCTATCATAGGTTGAGGGGAAAATGGTGTTCAGTAATTATTCTCTTGTTGCATTATCCAACATGAGAGGAATATTGCATGAATGTTTTATAGTCCAGTACAACCCACTCTGATCTAACCCTTAATCAGTGGATTGTTGCGCTTTAAACACCTGTTGCCAGTGAGGAAGAACAGACAAATGCAGGCAGAGTTTTAAGTAGATGTGTTTTGTTTCTCACCCCATCAGACAGCAGCATGTGCTGTGCTGATTGACCATGGTCTCTAGCAGGGGTCCAAGGACTTAGCCTCATATCTTTAGACCTGTAGCAAGCAAATCAATTGTTCAGCAGTCATTTTTCTTAGCAGTAAAATAAATCTATGTGGTATATGAAGACTAAAACACTTAGCAATATTATGGCTAATTTTATAACCTGACTAGTGGTGCTTCAGTGCCTGTTTCATGCAGCTTTGAGTCAGGTAGGGAAGATGTCTGGCTCTAAATTCAGTCCTGTAGTTATTACACATGGAGTTCTTTATGAGAACAAAAAGGAAAGATAGTTTTCAAATGTGTTTGGTATCTGTGAGGAGACACAACATCAGGGGTGACATTGTTACCAGCAGTATCTTGATAAATTGCCAGTGTGCATAGGTCAACAAAACACTGTGGGATCTGCAGCTGTAAGAACATGTACCAGTTCTATGTCCCTTGATTTTGATTTTTTCCAAGTATATCTTAAAGATATGGTGAGTTATTCTTACATATACTTGCTGGGTTGGTAAATAAGTAGTTAGTCCCAGATTTGATTTAACCCATTCTTAAATATCAGAACATACATCTCTCCTCCATTCTGAACTGTCGGAGCTGGCACTTTACCTGGCACTTGTTGCATTCACCTTCCAGATCACGTGAATGGTCACTGTACAAGTCCAACATCCCATAGCTGCAGCTCAGGAAAACGACTTTCCAGCGCAGACGTCTCCAAAGCCAACCGCCGCGGGCCTGGGCGGCCCCCATTCAGGAAAGCACAGTCTGCAGCCTGCATGGAGATTTCTCTCCCCGTCACCACAGAAGGTGGGTGGCAGTGAATATTCTGCTAGGTATTTGTGGATCTCTCACCGGGTGCAAAGACAAATAAGTTTTGCACGATCCTTGTCCTTGCCCTGAACTGCTGTGTTCATCTGACTGTTTAGAATTAGAACAACCCCTGTGTGTTAGTGCTGTTACTAACAAGCCTGCTCCTGAGCTATGTGCTGCCTAGGGATGCAGTATGCTGTACCTCACCGAACTCTCACAGCCGTCCCCTCACCTGGATGGATCGGGTGCCATTGTTCATAGCAGCTTGTGTACAGTGATTGTGAGAGCTGGTAGTACTAATGTTTTAAGTTCTCGTTGTCTCTACTTACCAAGTCTGAAAATAAGTAAGATATTTTTAGAATGTGAGTTCAGGCTTTGCACAGTTTTCTTTCTTTCTTTCTTTATTGGTACGGAAGACTCTCTAAAATTCCACAATTCCTGGCCACTGTTTCTGGTGAAATTATAGCCCATTATCTGATCAATTTCTTTTATTTATGATAAGTTTCTTCTTCTAATGCTTGAAAAACAGTCTTCAAATCTTGATCTACCCAAGTGCAGAAACTGGATGAAGCTGGGATACACAAAGTGGCAATGCACTGAACTTCAAACTTAGCAGAAGCCCAGTTTAATTTTAGCAGTGGCAGCTGTTTCACTGCAAATCGTTTAAGTAGAAGCATTCAGCTGATGTGTTTTTCTTCAAACTTGATAGTGTTCCAGCTCTGCTGGTGGTATCCTTGACCCTTTTCTCCCATGCTTCCAGTTCCCCCGCATTCTTGCAATAGAACAATGCACTGTCTGTGCAGAAAAGCTTCAGTGTATCAAAACCTGAAAGAGCACAGCATCAAAATAATGGCGTAGAACAGCAGTGTTGGTTGTATTCCTTTTCAGTAAGAGGTAAAAATTTAGTATTTAAACAACAGAAGTTGCAGTTTATTATTTTAATAATAAAATAATTAATTTTAACAATTAAGCCTTTTAAAAATGCAGCTTTTTATTTTAATCAAGTTGCAGAATAATTTCCTAAGTGCCTAAGAGATAATAATCTCCTGTGGCTGTTTGGGCTGTAGCATGGCCCTGGACCCCCTGTGATACTACAAATGATAGTCAATTGACAGCACCATGACCCTAGCCCTCTATCTTGTAAGAGGCATTTGTATCCTAACCTTCCTGCCTGCCTGCAAAGGTGTATGCACCACAGAAGTTCTTTACAGCTGGAACTTGTACTCCCTCATTTTGCTGGTTGTTAATTGTTAATGGGGACAGAGCAAAAGAAATTGTATCACTCAGCATCTAATTTTGTATTTTTAAATGCAGTTATTACAAATACCTTTGTTACTAGTGGAAAATGGCTAGAATCTGTGATTATTATTTATTTTTCTATTTATAATAATATAAGAGAGCAAATTCTTTTTTGGCCCTTCTGACTTACGTGGAGAGCATACAACAAAACAAATACTGTCTATGTGTGTGACCCTATAAGAAAACATCCTAATTTGGCGTAGAAGATTCCAAGATTATGTTCTTGTCTGGAATGGAGCTGATATCCTGAAGTCCATTGCAGTGTCCTCTAGCAGCTCCTTCAGTTTTATTTAAGAACAGCATTTACCTACATTCATTTGTGAGATACAGAGCAAAGCATGGTTAGAAGCTCTCTGCAAAATGGCTCTGCTCACTGAAGGTGTTACTATCTTTCAGCTATGTCATTAGGTCTCTGTTAGAACTGACCTCCCATCACCAGAGGTTATCACACCAGGACAGATACTGGAAAGATAAATCCTTTGAGTTGTTAATTTCTGCTTAAGTACAGAAACATTTAACTTAAACAGCTTTCTATATTGGATTACATTATCCAACTTCTTTTGCACTAAAGCAAATGAGAAGTGCCCACATGATCTATCCGACTTTACTGGTTTAGTATTAATCTAATACAGAGAAACAGGATCAAAAACTTGTGTAATAGTGACATTTCAACTGACATTGCTGTTTCTTCAGTGACCATCCGATGATCTCTTCTTTAGGAGAATGTTACAATGTCATGGGCTCTTCAAAGATTCATGGGGTAAACAGCAGAAATGCTAAATTGCACTGTAGGCTGTGTATAAGTAAGAGTAATCCTCAGCAATCAGTTATAAGAAGTAATCCTGTTTAAATACCAAACCTACTATAAATTTCGGTTTTCACTTGGATTATTTAATGGCTCCTGTGTGAACATTGCACTAAAGCAGATTTACAGAGCTCTGAGACGTTTATAAATTCCTATGCATAAGGGCAGTTTTCATCTGCATAATCACCATTTTTTCCTCCACATTAGTTATTGATGATGTTCATAACATAACTCTTTAATCTCTCTCTCTTTATGCACCACACAGGTATGGTAAGTACCATTGTCATATAATAGCTCGTGGTGGAAAATACATCACTGCCACAGTGGTTTCTATTGCTGTGTGTTTTTCTTCATCCTATGTAGTACCAAACTCTTCTGGAATTCTTGTATGCAGATACTGCTGCAACATCAACACTACTTGTACATAACCGGGCCATGTTACCACCTAATTCTGATATGCTGCTTCCTTTCTTTTCCCTCCCACCCTCCCAGAGTAAGTAGGGTCACTGACAGGTGGAACCTTAACCCGTTAAGGACCCACTGACCCTCGTGTACAAAACATTTATTAAGACAGTGATACTTTTGATGGTATGATGATGATTTCTGTGTCATGAAAGATACCTATCAGATTTACTATTAAGGTATATTTCTTTCTAGAGATAATCATATAACTTCCTTTCAGGGGTGAGGAGTAAATAAAGTGACATAAGAATCCCTATTTAAAAGTATCAGTGGTGTTACTTAAATGATACTACAACTCTTACTAATGTCAGTGAAATGAGTGTTGCAAGAAAGAGCCAAACAGTCTTTAGAATAATTGATATTAACATGTAATGTGGTGGAGCATGGTTTGGGTTTGTTTGTATTCTGTGGTATTCTAGCTCTACTAACTGAGCTGTCTGGAATGACTGACATTCCCCTGTTCTTCATGCATCTTGAATTTCCAGACATGCTGCTTTGGCGAGTGGTTTGGTTTATTTCTGAAGGTTTTTATACTAAATTATATGGTGGAAGGAAGGTGGCATGATCCTTGAAAGAGTCTTCACTTGGGTATAAAGAGGAGGTGGAGGGAGAAGGAAGATGAGGAGTTAAAAGGCTTGAGAAAGAATATACTGAGAATAAGCATTCTCTCCACAATGTGCCACTGGCTTTAATCTAAACTTCTGGTTGGGCTGTTCCAAAATAAAATCAAACAATCCTCTCTGTGCTAGGAATGTATTGATTACTTCAGAGCATATGCTGCAATAAACAATAGATATATTCCTAAGAAATTATTTTTCTCTATATATATTCTCATGTGGTGAATCAAGATACACATTTTATGTCCTTGCTTGAGAAGGTAGTGTTTCAGGTTAGGATTTGGTAGGATTTTCTTATTCTACCTGAGTAGAATTTTGATGAGAGATTGCTCTTGCAGCAGTGTTAAGCACTTTTTATACATTAAAACTAAAATGTGCCTTTGTGTGTGGGTAAATGGTTCTTACCTTCCCTTGAGTCTGTCCCTGAGGCATTGATACAACCTAGAGATTTTTTAATAATGCATGCTTCCAGTTCCTGCTATTTACATCCTCTCCTAATTGATTTGATTACAAAGATAATACATTTTGGTGACTAATCATAGGATAACTTTTAGAAGAATAAATCGGTCTTCACCTCTCACACTGGGTTTCAAAAGCTACTTATTTAAATTTGATCTTTTCAGTGCAACAGGAACTGTATTTCCAGCATTTTCATCAAGTGTATTTTCAAGCAATTTTCACACAATAACTTCTTCTGACTTCATTCCTGTTAGCTGATTGTCAAGGTTTTGCTGACTCTTACCTCTTCATATGTGCAGAAGGATTCCTGATATAGAAAAGCATTTTTAAACAACATCTTTGCAATGATGAATCATAGGAAGAAAACTGAGGGAGGGAGAGTGTCTAGTTTTCTGCTGGTCTAAATATTGCAAACTGTTCAGTTTTATAAGGTGCTGATACTTCTTCCATGCTCGTAGAAGAATAATTCAAAAGCCAAGTAACAGCAGCAGAGACGTGTCTTTCAATCATGGGTACTGTTACGGCTTAAACCTATGACTTTTATCAGTATCCTCATCTAACACTGAAAAACTTGAACAGCTCTACAACTTTTTAAACTCAAGTAAATTTTCTTCCAAGCTAATGATTACTGCTATTTCAGGTTCAAAGCCTGGGTTTATTTTTTCCCCAAAAGCACTGGTATTGAGATCGAATAGCTTGTTAGGGTTACATCTCTGTCAGTAATTAGCCAGACATTCAATACAGCACTTCTCAAATGCCATTTATGCTATTTAAAATGTTACCTGTTGTTCTCTGGCATCTTCTAGTTTCATAAATGCAGTATTCTTATGCTTTACTAGTGAATTCTATAGTTGCTCAATATTCTGTGGAATTCTAAAAATTCTCTAATTTTAGCAAGAAATTAGAACTTTACAAGATCTTAATAGCATGTTCTTGATTCTGAACAATCTTTTTTTCAAACACTTTTGATTAAGCTGTTTCTTCCTTGTAATAATATAAGAAGTTGTTTGCATTGTAAACAAAACCACAAATACAGGAACTTATAAATTCTCCACTTCTTCTAGTCCTTTTTGACCAGGCATTTTAGAGATTTTAGGAGTTAGTGATTATATGGCTGTAGCCATTTGCACTGGTTGTGTCTTGGCATGTTCCAGCTCTGACCTCTGACTAGTACCCTATTTTATCTGCAGGTATCCTCACAGAAACATTGGAATAAAGATTATATTAACCTTCTGTTTAGCTTCTTTGGAGGAACCGTGTACCCCTACTTGGTTTGCCTTCTGCCCTGTGACATAGATCCAAAACAGTGCATCTCAGTCGAAGAGCTAATAGTACATAGTTGTTAAAGCCCCCTT